GTTCGATGTTACATTAGATGCAAATGACGCTTAATAATGAGTTCTTACGAAGGATATTGGTAGACCTTCGTTGCGATATACGTATTATGATATTTCCGAAATAATAGTGAACGGAGATAGTAGATTTATGAGTATTGAATATCTGAAACCTTATGAATAGGAGTGAAAGGATTTGTAATGCAGTTACAGAAGTCATTAATAAAGATATGTATGCCATTCATTGTCATTTAGAATGTTCTTCCTGGCGTGTGTCTGATGGCATATAAATTCATTGATATTACTTACATTTTCACTTTTTCAGTTGGGCGTTTGAATTGAGAAGTAGATGGGTAGATGGGGTTATGGTGTCTGATGCTGGTGTTACCAAAGCTGTGTTCTTAATTTTGCAGCTATATATAGGAATAAATTATTTTTCTAAGCTTTTCTTATAAAGTTTCATAATTTAAGTTTGAACACATAAAATGGACCAAAACAGGTTGACGAAAACAGTCATTTCGTATTAGCAAAACTCTTACCAATATATACCCTTAACAGGCGCATAACGGGATGGTTGGTTTCGTCGTCTTGGTACCCTGTACAGTGACTGAGGTCAAGGACACCTGTAACACCTGTTCATGCCAATCACGATGCAGCTAACCATTACCTGCATTTGTGTTGGATGAAAAGTCAAATGCCCGAGTCGTGTGAAATTATTTTCAGTCTAATAAGTTCAGATAATAATACTCCATATCGTTACACTGAAATCTACTGAAAATGATGCTAAGTTTGGGCTGGTAGCTACAGACGAAACGTTTTATGACACAGATTGGAACCATGCTCTCAGAGTGTTTCAAGTTTTACAAGTCTTGGCCTTTCATAAACATTTTACATTCACATAGACATATAATCACTTTTCTTCCGTTATGTATGAATACTATGTTATGGCAAGGTGTAATAGAGGAAAGCAAGATCATACCTCAAATCAGGCTATTCCTACATACACTGCCGGACAAAAGAAAGTATACATATGGAAATTGGATTTGATCAAAAATTACAAACGTTATCATAACGTTACTAAGCTGAAAACAGCCGCCGAAACACTACAAACTTAAGGTCCCACACACACAACCAGTGTACCTATTTCAAATACATCACCATCGAAATACCATTTCGTGTTTGTTTCATTTTAGCCACCATCAAAAATGGGTGAGTACTTTATTTTGCCCGGCAGTTTAGGAAGTAGGAAATCAGCCGGGAGACTGTGGACAAATGAAATCAGAAATAAAGTTGTTTTTGAGCCACCAATACAAGTGTCAACGTCATGGCACCTCCCGACAAGAGAAGGTATCCTTTTTGAAGCATTTCAATGGGGTGTTATGGCAGTAGATTGCAGCTATACCTAACCCGAGGCCTACTCCCTCCATTAGTTTTCTCTCCCCTGCCGGGTGTCAAAATCCCTCACCCTAGTTGTGGGGGATAACGCTCATTCAGTGAGGGTTTGATAAATGGGGAGGTGGCCGGGGTGACGTGAGGGGGGACCACGCTGATTTGGGAAGAATCAATCATCAGCCACCCAGCCTGTAGACACGAACGCCGATCGCTGGATTTGTCAATAGTGGATTATTATGGTTGGTATTTATAGATGGCATTAGGTTTAACCATTATATGATTCGCTGGGATCTCCTATCACACGGCGGTCTGAGGGGGCGGTGGTTGACACAATGCTACGGTAAAGCGTCTTGCAGGCGCCTGGTGTTATAGCGAGTAGAACCCCTTGGATGCAATGAACGTTATTAAAGCTATGTGCAAGTCTAATTGCGAACAATATTAAGAAATTTTAGTTTGTGAACTCATCTAAATAGGTATAGGTGTTAGTAAAGTCTTTATTAATTATCCAGCTTCGTCCTGATTATGTTTCTTGGTTTCTCAGTGCCAGAACGTGCTCATGGGTTTCATCAAAATGGTAAACGTGGAAGACTTGCATTCATTAGAGCTGTCTTCACACACAAACTGGACGCGCCGTCATATAACTGAAATACTGTTCAAAGCGGCGTTATGTCGAACTCACCGACACATTCTTTCTTAATCAACTAAAAATCGGGGGTATATGACGCATGTTTCCCTTCCAATTATAACATTGCTATCACACATTGTAGTTTTCCTTCGATGACGAGCTATCTGATAACGTGGAAATATCGAGTGGTAAAGCATGACAATGTTTCTCGAAATGTGAAACTTATCTCATGCTTGAGCTCATCTTACGGGGTTTAAGGGGCGTTGGGGTAGCCTAGTGGTTAAAGTGTTCGTTCGTCACGCCGAAGGTCCGCTGGAATATTGCTGACAGCGGTGTAAAACCAAACTCACTCACTCATCCATCTTCCCGAGACAAGGGAATTCACTGATTGTAAAAGTCCAGTTTTTACCCTTGCCGAACTCGGCTGCAATTATGGAGTTATATTTTGGCTTGACTAACGAGTCCATGCATAGTCCAATCAAAAAGCGCGTAACGAAATCGACATTCGTTTTGTAAACAATATAGATTTCAACTTGCAGATTTGGATCGACTGCAGGATTTTTATAAGATGTGTGCTGTCAACTGGTCGTCGACAGATATTTTCCAAATCTTTACATGTTTATAATCAAGGTGGTCACGTGATTTGATGCACTTCGCGTGGTAAGACCCGTTTTATTTCTATTTATAACTTGATCAGATATCGATCAGATCGTCTTGACTGGGCACCGCCATGTTTGTTTGAAGTAAATGCAAGTGATATGAGAGGTGGGATCTGATTGGTCAATAGGCGGGGCATAGAAGGGACATAACTCGTAATAGTCACTGGTGGCGCTACGATCGAGCCCAGAAATTCCATCCTAGTTCGGTAAGGGTGGAAACTGACCTTTTGCAGTCACTTAACTCCCTGGCCTTGGGAAGATGTCACTAATTTTACATAACGCAATACTATATGGTACTGTATATAGAATGTGGCAGTCAACAATCTGTCAATAAACACAGTTGGGTAGACCAGTGGTATTGATTGGTGAAGGGCCGAGTTCGAATCTCGACATTTGTGTTATCTTCGAGGCAAATGAGAGGTTCCCTCTCCGTAATATAACTGGAATATTGCAAAAGCAGCGAAATAGCACACATACTCATAAACATGTGTATTATCTGAGTTGGTCACCGTATGTCCAGTCCATCTTTGGTGGCGTATATTCATCTTTTTATGAAATCCCAGTCCATCTTTGGTGGTGTCCCAATTCATATTTTTATGAAATCCCAGTTCATCTTTGGAGGTGTCCAAATTCATCATTGTAGGAAATCCTAGTCCATCTCTGGTGGTGTCCCTATTCATCATTGTATGAATCCCAGTCCATCTTTGGTGGTGTATTTTCATCATTGTATGAATCCCAGTCCATCTTTGGTGGTGTCCCAATTCAAATTTTTATGAAATCCCAGTCCATCTTTGGTGGTGTATTTTCATCATTGTATGAATCCCAGTCCATCTTTGGTGGTGTATATTCATCATTGTATGAAATCCCAGTCCATCTTTGGTGGTGTATATTCATCATTGTATGAAATCCCAGTCCATCTTTGGTGGTACCCCAGTGAATATTTGAAAGTGATCCAAATCCATGTTTGTATGTGGTCCCAAAGAATGTCACAATTCATAACTCGTTAGGTCCATACCTTTCTTTGGTGGTGTCTCAATTAATCCTTCTTGATTGTCTCAACCAAACATTGTAGATGGTGAAAAATGGGATGCTGAATTTGACTGCAGTGGTGGTCATATAAAAAGTTCGGAATGAACCTGAAGGGAGTCAGCGTTGGGATGAGCCATGCAAAACTATTAGCACATAAAATATCATATCACATGGAAATCACCTGTCAAAACTTAACGGCAACCACAAATTCGTAAAGAGGTATTCCTACGGATCATTGTACAATATAGTGTATCACAACAACTCAGAACTTCAACCAGAATCTATACATAGTCCGGAAACGTTTTGACAAAGAACCGTATCCTTTTCTACATCATGTTTAGGGGTTATGGACGCAGCAGCCGCCTGAGTCACCTTAGTTCGCTTTACAGTGTTGCATCCCTTAGCCATACCAGGATCCGCTAGTGTTTGGTTCGAATCCAAAATTCGCCTTGGTCAGTCAGCAGATTATCCGTTTCACTAAGGTGGTAAATGTCTAAACGTACGCCATTTTGGGCTTCCCTCCCACAATAAACTGACACGCTGTGATATAGCTGAAATAATGTTCAAAGGGGCCTAAACACAACTCGCTCACTCACTCACTGTATTGATTTGATGCGCATGGTTTAAATAGAAAGGCGTCCTGATTTTGTACATACCACCGTCTGTTGCTTCACGTGTCCTCTACACATCTTTAACTACACGTGTATGTGTTAATGCTCGTAACTTCCATCTGTTTGCTCGTATATTGACATCTAACCACACTCTACACATAATCACTTTATCAGCTAATACATTGCCGTTACTATAACCTTATCACCTGTCAAAATGCGGAGCTTTCCATTCCGTCCGCCATGAGAAGTAGTTCGTGCGTAAAGATAGCACCTGAAGGGCCCTCAGTAAAGCTTAGGTGCACATTGAAAGTTTGAACATGAGTCTATGGGTTGGGACTCGGCAACATAGGAGTCTACAAGTACCTTCCTTCACGCCCGTGTGGCAGTAGGAGGATGCACCGGAAAGGGAAATGGTTGTGTTGGTGGCTTACGGGAATTGGCAAGGTAACTCCTGACACTGTTAGAAATAAGACGGTCATGTCACGAGCTGCAGCTTCAAACGTGACCCTTCGACTATTGTAGTTCTTTGATCGAAACGTTTTATAGCTGTATATATTAATGGCTGTAAATTATCACTTGTTCAGTTACTCCATGTTGATGAGCTACCGTGATGGTGAAATGAACTCCCTCTATACTTCTTTGATATACTCTCTATATTCCACAATTCACTTAGTCGCGCTAGATTAAAGATATTTTTGATAATGCTTTCGTAGTTTTGCCGAATTTGATGATTCAATAAGTAGCAACATTGAGATAGGTAACGATATTTGTCCCTGTTCCGAGAAAAGTATTCTTACAGACTAAATCTATAATTCAACTTCCCTCAGCTTAAACACAATTGTTTTCCCTCTACTTCCCTCTACCGCAACTGACACGTGAGGAAAGTGTTTGACGTGTCGTCTTCTCAGAAGCTGTCTCTCCTCAGATTCACTGTTGGACGTAGTTAGGAAGAGAGACGATTGTTCAGCAGCAGTAAACTGTTCATTACAGCTTATCTCCCGCTATAAATGTCTATGTAATTCACAGAATACAATAGCCAAGTGTCAGCAAGCAGCAGACGACACAAGCTGATAAAATAGGACACACACACACGCACAACGGTAGCAGACGACAAAGTAGTGGAATTTGTTCAAGCAGGTCTAACTGTAGGATTAGAGATTTCGGAGGTGCAAAAAGTGCGTTAGCATCAGAAGTGGAAAACGTCCGTTGCAGATGCATTTATGTATTTGTAGCAGACGACACACTGGTCAAAGTCCAGATCTATCCTATCTGTGAGTATGACCGTCGTGGTTTAGTCCTTACCGGGGTGGGTCGGCTGATTAATGAAACCCTGGCAGGCAACAGAACAAGCCGCCTTTTCCCTGCTGATCAGCCCACTTCATGTTACCACGTTGACTCACAAGGAGATTGGACTAATGTACGACCTAAGTGTTTAGTTTGTGCTTACTGATTAGTTGTGTTCTCGTTCCAGGCAGACCAATCTGATAGTGACCGCTACACCGACCACACTGGGATATACAGCGGAAGGCAGCACATGGAGAACTGAAGGACATGACTCCAGCATCTGCTTCAAGTAAATTTGTCTCTCTGTGGGTGGTGATTTCCCGAGCTGTCGACATTTAGTGCAGGACCTAATAACACAAGGAGGCGGAATTGTGATACAACAACAGGGGATTCCAGGAAACTATTCACTGATGTTTTGGGCAGCATGTTGAAGTTTGAACTAGACTAGCTCAGAGGGAGTTTTCCAAAGGATGCATGGCACGGAAATAATGGCGGCTGTCCATAGTGCTCCTCATCTTCCTCAACCCATCCAGGTACATAACTTCCCATCAACCATCCTTAAAAAGAACTACGAACCGTATGTACGGGGTGTCGACAATCACTACGTCAACGATTTTGAAGATGATGACGACTTCAGTGATCATGACTCTCACTATTCCGAAGACCTCCAAGACGACCTTGACCGAGTTGAGGTCGTACAAAAGATACCCAATATAACACAACAATTACTGGACTTTACAGAAATGGTGAATGCGGATATCAAAAAGTTTTTTGGTCGGAATAAGAACGAGGAAGATTCATGTGACATATACGAGGACAAGTGGATGCCGACCAAGTCCGGGCGTGAACTGTATTACGCAGATCTGTTAAGAGTGGCTCAGGGGGACGTAGATGTATCCAAAACCAAGGAGGTTGTATCCCCGATCTCACCAAAGACCGACCCTGATAACAGGCATAGGTTTAGTGGGAAACTAGATGCCAAGATAGGATTGGGTCCACTTAATGAACTATTTGACCTCGGTCTTCGGCCTTCTATCATAGAAAAAGATAATAAATTTAAGAGATTAAAACGAGTGAGGTTAGATGATCAGAAACAGACTGATGTGGTCCCCATGCATGACCGTACGTTTCCAGACTCGTTCTGGAAGGAACCTGGTAGTGAGCGGCCAACTGATAACCACAAAACGGAGACAACAACCCCGGGTATTCTGAACTCTTCTAAACCTCCAGACTTTAGTGATCTCCTTCAAAGTTGGACAGGGGGGCATAGTAATTTCCCAGAGGAGATGTCTAGTGAGGGGAGTATGGACTCTTCAGCACCAGCTGATATACAACACTTGTAGCAGGCGATGTCTTTGTGTTTCCAGTTGCACATAAAGTTGCAAGATTCTCATTGAAGTCACATTGACGTAAATCACTTCATATCATTAAATAGATACAGAAAACACCAAGAAGACGGCATTCGTTTCGCCCAAGCGCGTATGCAATGAGCGCTTAAGAAGATCCATGACATGTGTCTTTGGAGTTCCATTATACAAATGACTCGAGTGACTGTCACCATTCTATGATTAATTCGTAGAATCTCAAAATTGAATTTGATTGAACATGTTATCCGAAGATTTAGAACAGACTCGAACCAGCCACATGGTACTCTGATCAGAATGCAACAGACTAGAACCTCTTACTTCAAGACGTCAAAGAACTATAGGACCTTTACAGAATCGGTTGTACCGGACAGACTTTCTTCATGCGGCATAACCTTATCATGCCATGTAGTCATAGCAGGCCTTTCAATGCTGACTACTGGAACTCATGTTATTCATTACCTTATGTACGCCTCACTTAATCACATGTTTTGGTGTTTCCATGCTGGACACAGATCTGAGAATATATTACGTTTTATCATTTTTTTTAATCACTTTCTTTCTCACTGCCATTGATAATATAATGTTGTTCCACATCAGATGTCAATTTTTACTTTAGTGGCTTGTATGTATATTAGCTTTAAGATAAAGAGGTGATATGCGCAAATTATATCACAATATGCACCGAAACCATTTACAGTGTTATTGGATACTGTTTGGAAAAAACTCAATTTGAAACATGAATATTTTGATAGAAAACTGACATAGGTGCAATGCAAGATATCTAAATGTACTTCCATCATTACATGAACTGACTAACAAATGTTATTCCAGATATCCTTCACATATCGATACTGACAAGTTACATGTTACCATTCTTTGGAACCGAGGGGATGTTAAGGGTATATTAAAGTGTTTTGATAGCTATGTTTTCATTTATCACTTGCTCATTAACACAGGGTACAGTTTCAGTGCAATGGTTTGTAATGACTTTTATCAACATATCGCTTTAATTGCCATTCATCAGGAATAGACAGCAATGAATAATTATTTAATCATAAGCAAATGGATATAAACATTCTGCCAATTTCCGATTGCCAGTGCAAGACACTGTGTTTCATTCCCGATGTCCTCATGATGAACATGTTCTCAATCGGAGAAGATTATGAGAATGAGGGCACGCGGAAGGGTTTAATCCGAATTTTGTATATTTCAATATTTCACGACATATATTTCAAAGATGCAACATTAAAGAGATTATCCTGATGTTCTCTTTAAATGTTTCTTCATAACAAAATTCGGACGATATTTATGTATCATAAGGTCATAAACTGAATCATCTTATGTAAAAGTTTCATGTATTTTACACACATTTTTGTCTTTTTCTATTTCATCCTGGGAGACCTTATAACCAGGATGTGTAAAACTGACGCGTTAGGATAAAAATGATATTTGTGTCAGCTTTAAGTTATTATTGATTATACAATGATTGCTGTGAGAGAAAGAGATTAATACACGATAATAAAAGAAGTCTTACAAACCCATTTCCTTGTCTTTCTTGCGTATTGGATATAAACAAACACGGAACACATATTCCTATTTAATTAGTATTAAATCTATCATTAGAACATTCAGACAGACAGATTTATATCGTATATGTGGTCATGAGGCCAATAGTACAATGATATTTGTTGTAGGACAATTCGTCGTGGAGCACCACTTGTATATTGCAGCTGAATAGATGTACATGTTTGAGTTTTATTAATATTCAATGTATCATCCTTCTTTCAAATATTTTATTTAAAAAATCTGCGAGTTTGAGGAGAATGTGGCTATGTTTGCTGTTCATTAACTGTACACATTTTCTTTGCGTTGGAAACGTGTAATAATAGTTAGGTAGGTATTTGATTCTTATACCTTCACATACTGGACATATTAATAACACATGGTATTCCTCTTCTTGGCAATATTTGCAGTAGGGACACATCGATGCTAAAACATCATTATGTTTGGAGTGTCTGTATAACTGTTTATTAAGGGTATGCATACCACACCTGAACTTCGTTAAACATCTGTGTAAACATATAGAACGAATAGTTGTTACATACATTTCTGGGATTATTTCCATACCATTTCCCATCTTTTCTAGTTACCTAACAAATGAAAAATGAAATACACATAAAGGACATTCAGTGTATACATGCATATTATTAGCTCACAACGAATGAATAGAAAGTATTGTGCCATAGTGTATTATTCGTCATCTTTCCGTCCGTCCTTGGCTAAACCGACTGAAGGAATTCCCAAAGATGTGTTCAAGCATGAGAAATTAAAAGAATACCGTTGTACTACTTTAATCTCCTCAGAAAACGCAATTCCAAACGGGATGTCACTGATGTCTAACACATCAGAGGCATCCGTGTCATATACACTGTATTGTTATCCTCTACTCAGAGCTATTCTCTGGACAACACAACTGAACATATAGAGGCTTATCGAATTAAAATAATAGAGTATGGTATGTTTCAAACTGATTTTTTAAACAAAACATTTCAAAAGCGTCCCCGAAACAACGGAACACATAGAACTGACACAAGTGTATTGGTGCCATGCGTATTCACTAACACATTACATAATCATATTGTGTAGGACAGTTTGTTGATGTTCAATAACACTACCTATAGAATAAAAGTGGAAGGATGTTTAAGGTAAAATTTACTTTATGCTAATATGAAAAAAATGTGAATCAAGAAAAATGTATATGGAAATGTACATAGTACTGCAGGGGACACCTCAATGTGCCCTCATCTATTGTTCTGTTTCAAAGTGCAGTCAGCCATAGTATAGGAGACAATATGGTGATTAACTATAGTCTGTTGCAGAATATCAGGCATACATTTATTAATTTATACATATACACATTACAAATATGCAGATTATAATACGCGATAAATACATAGCAAGAAACATATTAAGATACATATTCTATTAAAATCAATTATTATGAATATCATTATTGATTTAATTAACATGTTTAATGGTTAACGTCTACATACATTGTACGGTGCATATTCTGAAATATACATTCTGAAAATCCATTATAATTTAATGACTGACATGTACTGTCCATCCCACATCTATTTTATATATTAATGTCTACAGTAACTTGTAAACTATTCAAGTATACTGCAGTGTGTTCACCTTGATTTGCTAATAAAAGTACACTTTTACCTGTGGACTATTAGTCGATATACCGAATTGATATACGTCGTGACAAATAGAACTGAACGTGTTGTGTATTTATACAACATGTCATACAAAATTCACAGGTGTTTGAATCTTCATCTAAATGTTGTCACATTTTTATTATAAGTCCACACACAGCACCTTTAGTTCTACATGCCATGTTGTTTAAAGACAACACATTCACTTCCAGGTGTCATGTTGTATCACTTTGTTGACGTTCAATAACACAAAGGAGAGAATAAAAGTGGAAACATATTTCATGTGAGTATATTTGATTCATTATATGCACATACATTTTCATTTATGTGTAAATATGAAAATTATGATATAACTTGCATATGACACCTTATATAATTAATGAGTTGATATTCTGAACGCCGCACTGAGTCTTTCATATAAATCACATTGTCTGCAGTTTCCAGAATAAATTATCCCCAGGACCTTTAAAGAAATAATAAATAAATACCACGTGGTGGTTTTAGTTATCCATTTCAATAAACCGATGAGGGAATGCATATATAATTAAAAAATAAAACCTATTAATCCACCAATTGATTTTTATGATAACCAAAACATTCAATGTTTCATCCAAGTCCAATCAAGTGTCTAAAACATCTTAAAGAAGGGTAAGTCATTGCCTCATCTCGGACCAAACTCCACAGCAATTGCAGAATGTTCACAATGCAGTATCTTGCGGAAGATTTGTTACCGAGTTAATCTGAGGTTCATCGTGAGGGTTTAGGGATGGATCTTCTTACAAACTCGGGGGTAACAATATTGAAAATTAACAGCAATTGCTTTGTCTAAAAGGAAGTTATCTATATTTCGTGTAAATACGCTATTAGTTCGACGAGAGGGGGATTACAGGGGACAACGCTGCGTTGGCGTTAATCCCCCATTCCACCTTGACGTGGCAGGGGAGGAATCCCCCACAGCTGCCTCCCAATGTCACTGACGAAGCAGATTTCTGTATGACAATCTTTTATATTCATATCGATATGCTGTTATTTTTTTATCTTATGGTCAGGAATGTGCCTGCGTTGGAGTGCCTATCCCTTTTTTACTTGAGATGATTAAAAGTATGATAACTGGTAGTGTAACTTGAACTAGTTATACGTGGAATACCTATTCATATTTTGAAAAAGTCAGTTCGATTATACTGCCGGGGATATTATACAAATGGTATCATTATACAACACGCAAACATGCACACACACACACACACACACACACACACACACACACACACACACACACACACACACACACACACACACACACACACACACACACACACACACACACACACACAAAGCCCTGACTTGACTTGACTTTGCATGTGAGTGTGACCGGTGCCACCGGTGGGGCAGGATACGCCCACCGTTTCGCGAATACATAACTATTGCATGTGCTAACACATGCTTACGATTTAATCGAGATTTCTTATGATTATGGAAATTGTTTTGTCGCTTGCATTATATAAAAGAAATAAAGGACGAGTGGGAGTTGTGTATCTTACAATAAAACACTGCAGGGAGAAAAAACCATGTGGGGCGCAGCCAGTGGTAGCTGTGTATCTTACAATAAAACACTGCAGGGAGAATAAACCATGTTGGGCGCAACCAGTGGTCGTTGTGTATCGTACAATAAAACACTGCAGGGTGAATAAACCATGTGGGGCGCAGCCAGTGGTAGCTATGTATCTTACAATAAAACACTGCAGGTAGAATAAACCATGTGGGGCGCAACCAGTGGTCGTTGTGTATCGTACAATAAAACACTGCAGGGAGAATAAACCATGTGGGGCGTAGCCCCGAGTGGTTTATTCACCCTGCAGTGTTTTATTGTACGATACACAACGACAACGAGTCGTTTATATCTTATATGAGATATCAACATTATGTACAGCCTCTTTAATAATGATGATTCCCTGAATTGAATCCGACCGCGGCAAAGTCGGACAAGTCCATTTTATGAACAGGGTTTCGTCTTTCCCTCATATTCTCACAATCTTCACTTCAATTATATGTACATTTTGTCCCAATACCGAGTGACATACTAAGTATCTGTCTTAATTTTGGAAGCGATCGTTCGGCCATTGCCTTTATCTCTGTTAACCAGGTACATCTATGGGGTACAAGTCACTTGACACAGCCCTCTCAAAAATAACGATGTCCAATTTACGACGTCATCATTTCACCAGAAATGACGTCATGATAGAACAATGTTATATCGTGAAATAAACCACGCCTCGTATTTCGTTGTTCTTTGCGATCTTTGCGCGGCTATCCTGTTTATCGCGCTAAATGTCCCTTATTGTGACTGAATCATCTTTACTTACCACAATAGATACATGCAAGACACAACAGTAGGAGATGCATATAAATTAGCTCGTTTGTCAGTCAAAATTAGTCAATAAATTATATTTGTGACAACATGTTAGCTAGTGGTTAAGTAATATATTTTTTATGTTTGAACATGATAAGTATGCTTCAAAAACACAAAGACACAGCACATTCAATTCTATGACATGTTTTATAAAGACGCAACAGTTCTATATGTCATATCGTATATAGACACAGCACATTCAGTTTTAAATGCCATATCGTATATAGACACAACACATTCAGGTCTATATGTCATATCATATACAGATACAACACTTTCATGTCTACATGGCATGTTGCATATAGACACAACACATTCAGGTCTGTATGTCATGTTGTATATAGACACACCACATTCAGGTCTGTATGTCATGTTGTATATAGACACAACACACTCAGGTCTATATGTCATGTTGTATACAGACACAACACATTCAGGTCTATATGCCATTTCAGATACAACACCTTCAGGTCTATATGTCATATCATATACAGATACAACACTTTCAGGTCTATATGTCATATCATATACAGATACAACACTTTCAGGTCTACATATCATGTTGCATATAGACACAACACATTCAGGTCAATATGTCATGTTGTATACAGACACAACACATTCGGGTCTATATGCCATATATAGATACAACACCTTCAGTTCTATATGTCATGTTGTATATAGACACAACACATTCAGGTCTGTATGTTATGTTGTATATAGACAAAACACATTCACGTCTATATGTCATGTTGTATAAAGACACAACACATTCAGGTCTATATGCGATATATAGATACAACACCTTCAGTTCTTTATGTCGTGTTGTATATAGACACAGCACATTCATGTCTGTATGTCATATCGTATATAGACACAACACATTCAGTTCTATATGTCATGTTGTATA